CCCTCGCATTCACGTGGGATGTAACGTGCTCTATCGCGGGCGTAGAGGTTGACACCAACACCAACATCGGCGGTGTGCCTCCACCGAGGGATGGAGATCCCGATCTCGGCGATGGTGGTAATATTCTGGCTTCCAAGGTGACCGAAGTATTGCCACCAACACCGAAATCGAGGATCATCTTCCCCATGTGGAGGCAGCCCCCTGTGTTGGTGTTGGTGCCCATTTCTAGGCCTCCTGCTCTAGACTGCTTGAAGGGCAGAGTGCCTCCTGCTGGGGGGGGGGCCGTGGGCGTGCCCGGACCCGCGGGGCCGCCGCAGGGCACAGATGGCCGGCTCCGGGCAGTAGGCTCGGCGGCACGGCGGCGGCGCCGGAAGCGCCGAGAGGCCAGCGCGGACAGGCGAGCGCTACGGTCGGGGGGCACCTGCGAACCCTACCCTGGGGTCGGGCATGTCCCTCGACAGGAGGAAGATTCCAAAATAGTAAACCATACACGCTGGTCGTTGAAAGTAGGTATTTTTGGATTCCCAGAGCCCAATCTACTTCAAGCGCCTTCCTACTCCAAGAATCGACATGAGTTTGCTGTGTTTTGTTGTTCTCTGGGAGGGCCTGGACCCAATCCACTTTATCCGCCTTCCTACTTCATGTTTCTACCTACTTCTTCCGACCGACGTGTAAGTATCCGGGCGAAGGACCCAAGCATATGCAGCTGTGGGCACCGCAGTTGTGAAGATCTTCTTCGGTGACGCTCCCTATGGAGCCACGAGGCGCTGCATTGCGTGGGGGTGAACGCATGCGGGCGGTAGCACTGGGGCCGTCGGTGGAGCTCCCTATGGGGCCACGAAACGCTGTACTGGGTGGGTGAAACTGCCAAATTGAGTTTCGGGGACGCACGCGGGCGGTCCCACTGGGGGCTTCGGTGGAGCTCACCATGGGGCCACGAAACGCTGTACTCGGTGGGTGAGAATGCCAAATTGGGTTTTCGGGACGCATGCGGACGGTGGCGCTGGGGCCTTCGGTGGAGCCCCATGGGGCCACGAAACGTTGTACTGGGTGGGTGAAACCAAATTGGGTTTTCAGGACGCATGCGGGCGGTCCCACTGGGGGCGTCGGTGGAGCTCCCTATGGGGCCAGGAAAAGCTGTACTAGTACTAGGTGGGCGAAACGCAGGGAGGAGGGCAGAGGTGGAGGATGGAGGAGGGAGGAAGGAGGAGAACGCGGGGACCGTCTCGTCAAAACGAGGACCCAACACCACAGGATGGTTGGGGAAATAGTGCGGGAACGTTTTTTTGACTATTGTGGAGCATTTTCCTGCATTCTTCAGCTATTTTTCCATTTTTCGTTCAAAATCTGCCTGCAGGAGGTCATGCCCGACCTAACCCTACCCCCCTAGAGATCCGACGCTCCAAAAAAATTTGAGCAGGCGTTTTGTTAGCCTGTTCGGCCTCTTGGGGCCCTCGCAGGGCCACGGGAGCGTCACAAAACTATTCGGGACGAAAAACCGGCCCCAGGGAAGTGGTCCGGACCTCCACTTCGATTTCAGGCCCGCTGGAGGGCCACAGAACGTCGCCAAGGCCACCTCATCGAAACAATTGGAGCAGCCGGATGTCTGAGCCACCCCACGCTTTCTAAGGGGGGAGGTGGGGTTCTTTTCGCTCGGAAGGTTCCGAACGCAGTGAGCCCCACCTCCCCCCCCCTCAGAAATCCTGGGGTGATGGGGCAGGGCTCGCATGTGGCCTCCCGGACGAGGAGAAGAGGGCCGGCCGCGCCGACATCCTCGCGCGGGCTGCCCGCGCAAGGGCACGCGCGCGCTGCCTCGAGCCCGGCCAGACCAATGCTCGCGCCAGCGCTGCGGCCACGCAAACACGCGCGGCGTGCGTGGTCCCGCCCAGCGTCGCCGGGTGGGACAAAGCTTACCAGCCTGGAACATATCCCTATCCCTATGCTGGGCATCGCCCCATCACGATGCCAATCTTAGGGATTCCCTTGTTTTTTGAGGGCGCATCCCTAAGATTGTCATCGCCTTTTGGCGTGTCAATCTTAGGGATAGGGATAAGTTCGAGGCTGGTAAACGGCGGGCCTGAGGACCCTGGGCCTGGGACACCGGGGCCCCCGTAAGAACCAGCCACGCGCAGGGGGGGTGGTACAGTGCCGTTTTTAATACATGCTCCGCGTGCGGATCATGTGTTAAACATGCAGGGATTTAGGATTAACAACAACGATGAGTTCATGCATCAATTTATTCCTGAATTGATCATGTATTACAAATCCTATATACGTTTCTTTAAACAAAACTCTATGTATTAAAAACTGCCCTGTAGGGGCAGAGGGGGAAGGCTTCTCAGAGGGGTGCTTCTCAGAAGGCGCGGTCCTGGTCCGCAGATGTGAAGCCGGCGCCTTCTGAGAAGCAGCCTCCTTCTAAGAAGCCTTCCCCCCTCCCCCTGCCCCCTGGTGCACGCCGCCAGAAGAATGAAGGTATCCTTCTCGGTGTGCCACGCTGGCG